TCAGGGGAATCACGTGACCCCGGTAACGTAACGTGACCCCCTGGAGGTCACGGGGGTCAGCGACGTCACGAGGGTCACGTGACCTCAGGGTTACGCCGACCCCGACGCCGCTCCGGTGTAGCAGGCAGGATGAGGAGGTCAGGGGACGGAGGAGGGGTATACGCTCTTCACAGTACCCTTCCCTCCTCCTCCTCCTCAAGAACTGCGCTCTAATTCGGCGTTACAGGGAGTTCTAAACGGCTTTCACCTTTTTTATCTTGTTTTTTCCTTTCTTAGTTGCATTGGCTCGCTCTACTACGACTGAAGTTCGTTCTAAAAAGCGAGAAGCAGAGAAAATTTGATCTACAAGAAGCGGGGCAGCAATGTACAGCTGTTTGCGTTGGCCTTCGTAGCAGACAAGTTATGATATCGCATTTCGGCGTGATCTGTGTCGAAGCATGTAAGCCCGTTTTTTTTCTAACAGCAGGTAAACGCTGTTTATCGAAAAAAGAAGGCACCTGTGCAGAACATAATTAATGATTTTTTTTTATCAATCAAGTTAATGACAAACGGAAGGGGGGTATGGTACTCCATTCGGAAAGCAGTCTCATTAACAGAAATGCGTGCCCCCGTCCCCTTACCGCCCCCCCCCCCTTTTTTTTTCTTTTCTTTTTGCTACCGAGGTTATAGTGTAGTTGCAGCACTAAGGGAACATAATACAGTGGTGATTCCACGCCAGTTCATGCAATAATGGTCCGGGTCATAATTTATATATTTTTGTTAAAAAAATATATAAAAACCATGTTCTTGGGAGGAACATTGAGCTATATATGAACGCTGTAGTAAATTTTTCGCTGAGATATAAAATAGAGAAGCCCGAGGCGTGGAAATTCAGAAGATTTCAAAATGCTACATTGCACATTCGTCATTTCCTCATCGAAGCTTTCACATCACCGTAACTTTTAATACGCTTTACAGAAGATATACAATACATAAACAAAAAATTAAAAATATGAATAAAATATTTCTATGTAAACAACAACAAAAAAAAAACCATGAAAAAAAACGCGTTTTAGAGACATATTTACAATTTTTTTTTTTTTTTTTGCAAATAAACCATTTTTTATTATACTTCACAAAACATGCGCGTCTCTAAACATTCTTTACGAATATAAAAAGATAATACGCCTACCCTTAATTGTATCTTTGTTATTAACGTGGAAATGCGGCTGATTTCTCAAAATGTGGCAAGATTGGGCGTCGATATTTAAAGAAAAAGAAATCCATCTTTTATTGTTTTCTTTAAGCTCCCATTGGTACTTTGCAGTGACTTGAACTAACTTGTGATGGCAAAAATATTGAGTAACATATGACTTCCAAACGGGAAAAGCTATGACAAACCTTCACTCGAAGCAAGCCAACGCCTTCGTCATAGCGGCCTTGCCGCACAGCACCAAACATTTTGAGCGTTAGTTATGGCATGTCTTTTGTATTTTTCAATTTGTTTTTTCAAAAGGGGTGAATATAACTGACGCGAAAGGTGACTTTGAGCGAGAATACCATGACTTTGCTTACAATTCAAAAAAACAAAAACAAAAAAAAAAAACGGCCCCGTTCCGCAAATTTGCTAACTGTGCATACATAAGCTTAAAAGCCTCAATCGCGCAAGTGACCATGTATACAACCGGCCTCTCAGCATATGATGACTCCCACATATGAGATGCCTGGATTCCTCTCACAGGTCTTACAGTGGTCCAATCTGCTTGCTTCACCGCACGAAACTCTCGAACCCGTTCCACAGACAGGTGGAACATGCAGACATTTGTTATTTTTTTTCCCGTACCACCTTCACGAAGTCTTTAGGGGTGACAATCGTTGAGTTGAGCGAATATCTCAAGTTGACGAGCGTTGCGTGGTGTTTAAAAACACCATCTACTCCATCACAAGCGTTTTTTTTTTTTTGTGTCAGTGACTGAAAAGATCCATCTTGCTGATGAGTACGGCTTCCGAGACAATTCGTGTAAATGGAAGCGATTCTTGAAATGCGCCGCCGCTCCGTCTGATACAAAAATTATTTCAGAAAAGACTGGGCAATGTTCATCAACATACTCTTCTATGGCCTCTATGGCTAGCAGAGATTGAGCTGTGTCATGTGTCGTGTCATCGCTGACAACGGCAAAGCTTTGCGTGCCCCGCGTGGACGCAACCACACTTGTGAAATGAGAGACTTGAGTTTTTTTCCAATGAAAACTCTGCACTTCGGTTGGGAAGATTGCTGTCCAATTTTCCGCAAAATCGAAGTGGAACATCACTGCGTTGGGTGGTAATGCGGTTTTTGAGTCATGTATCAGGCTTCGTTGAAGGTCGCGGATGTAAGAATGCCTCATATACTTTTCGCTCTCCAGTTCCCACTGGAAGGCAGACGTGTTCATAACCTTTTCGACGAGTTGGCCGGCGTCCCATAACGCGAAACTGATCTCTTCGTCTTCGTCAAGATGGAGCGACTGCAGCGAGATGCTCTGCCTTTTTGGGCACTTTTCGCAACGGCGCAGGAAGCAATCGTTCTGTGGAGCACTGCAGAGGTAGATGCGCTTGAGGTCGTCTTCAGTCATTTTCTTTGGGGCATTTGTTAAATCCGTTAAAAGCAACTGAAAATTGACGCAATATATATGCATGCGCACACCTCGTACGCGGGACTTTTTTTTTTACCCATTTTGATCGTAGGGAATAAAATTTGGAGATGCCTAGTTCTGGATGGGGATGGTCCTTCCTAAATGGCTGGTAAGCTCCCTTAATAGAGCGGGTCATAATACCTTTTACGACTTCGGACATGTTGTTGTTCATGGCTTTGACGACGTCCTTTTCGTTGGGGCTTTGAACAGAGCATGCGAGGTCGTCGCGTGTGTAGTACTCAATTGCAAACCTCACGTCTTTCGCATTCGCATTTTTTCACATGTAGAGATCAGGGGTTGCCCATACTCAAGTTTTACGCTTCAGTTTTCTTGTTTGATCAACCATGTGGGCAGTCGCTTCCGGCACCAGACGCCATACTTCTTTCTTCGAAATCCTTGGTGGCAGACGCATGTGCAATCGCTTGCGTTCCTGGTGAGCATTGCATGCCTTCAGCGCTTCGCGGAACGTGTCAAACCACTCCGCGCAGTGCTCCGCCTCTTCGCCGGTTTTCACGCCATAAGTGCTTGACAGCTTTCTTAGAATCCAAGAACTCACTTCAGCTTAATTTTCTTCAAATACGTTCACGCCCTTTTTTTAATGGTTTTACGTGGTTTTAATGGAGTTACTGACAGACTAGCAGCACACAAGTCTTGACTCACTTCAGCCAGAATTTCATCAGAGTCCCGGAAAGAAGAGTTTGATGTACTCACGTTGCGAGGAGAAGCAAATTTTGTTATGGAGGTATTTGTAGCAATGGTGGCCTTAAATTTCAGATTCGTTCACTGTCCGTAGAGCCAGTAGCTTTTCCAAGCGCACTTTGTTGAGTCTCCCTACCGGTACGAGGTGCTTATCTCTATAGACGGTGTCGCCGAGGTCCGTGCCGCCAGGACGTGCTAAAGTATGCCAACCAGATGTGCTCCCAAGAAACTTCCGGTTTCTTCAGTTTCGTGCGCGTATTCGTAGTGAGGACGATGTTTTCGGCGTGTAAGTCATCCCCCTTGAACCGTGCACGGCGTGGCCCTTGCTGCGTTGTACCAGGGTGCAGTCTGAGATCTGGAACGAACCTTCTTTCGCAAGTGCGAACATTTAGGTTCCCCACAGAAACCGAGAGAAGGAAAGCCTGGATCGCAGCGGTACGACGGGACAATTGGCTGCCTACTAAGAGCTCACAGATTTGTTCTGCCCACTTCGTTCAAGGCAAGTATTTAATTTAGATTTTATCATCCCCTGCCACGGGTTCGGTGTCTCGAACGTTAGCGTTGCGAAACATTTCGCACGCAAACAAGCGTTCCATAACATCGCCCGAGATGCTCGGGAGTGCAATCGTGAGTCAGCCGGCTTAGCCGCGTTTAATGGACCCTGGCTAATTTCGAAAGTTAAGACTGCTGCTTGATGGCTCAAGAAGTTACTGTCGCGGACTATGCCGGATTATGGGGACGTATTCGTCGTCTTTAGATGGTCGAGGCCGCGTCAGGAGCCATCGGGCACTTATGGTGCGCTGAAAAATCATCCGTTCGTGTATCCGACTTCGTTTCCACGTGGTTTTCGACAGTAGCTAAAGCTAGGAACGAGTGATCTCGGATTTCGCCTGTGCGTTCGCTAGAGGATAAGCGCTTAGACCGAAAGCGCTGACAAGCTGGGCGACGCACTTCCCCCTGATGCAGCTGCTGTCCAAAAGAATCTCGATCGGAGCCTAGTTTCAGGTTGTGTAATGTGGCTTCGTGTGCAACATTGCACTGCTCTTGTTTGGGAAAACTAAAGCATACGTAGGAAAGCAGCTAGGTAACCCTATTTTAAATTACACACGTAAAAATTTCCTCACGTGCGTGTGTCCGTGACACAAAAAACAGTAAAAAAATGGCATAAAGCGCAAGGGTGTGTCACTTTCTACCGTAACTTTTTTATTTTTAAAGGACCATGAATCCGTGTCATAAGTTACTCCTTTGCCCTTGTTCAATGAAGGAAATTCTATAAACATGTTCTCAGCGGTTTCCCTTCCCCACAATTTGTTTACTGTACAACTCTTCTGCAGAGTTAATATACAACTGTTACTGTTTCCACTGCACGCTTGCATGTATTTTGTAATGTCTGTACATTTATGTCTTTCAGGCAGGCCATCTTCTGATACAAGTCATCCTGACTATGTCCCTACACTGTTCCCTTATCGTGTTCGAGGGAACCTCGAGCAGAAGATCGCACGGTACCAGCGTGCTAAGAACAAGCATGCGCCAAGTGGCCCCCCTCCAGTAGACCCTGGCCCTCCAACAGTCACCATTGAGAGTGTTGGACTCGAGAACAATGTTGAAAAGGCATGTGACGCAATAACAGAAACAAAGCTTACTCTACAGGACATCTCAAACCAGATTTTGGAGAACGAATCATTAAAAGAGCGCATCATTTGTATGGAACAGGACTTGGCAGTCGCTAAAAAGAAGATTGCTGAGCCTGAGGAGGAAAAGAAGCTACCCAACCTTCCGGAAGTTACCAAAAGCACAGTCATGCAGTCTGACAAGACTGTGAAATTTTACACGGGGCTAGTGTCTACAGCTATGTTTAATGCCTTGCTGCAGTTTGTGCTGTCCATCTGGAATCCACCATACAGAACATGCCTAGATGCAGAGCAGCAACTGATCCTAGTGCTCATGCGACTGCGACTAGGTCTTCTATCACAAGACCTGGCATGTCAATTTGGCATCTCAGCACGCACTGTAAGTGTAATTTTCCACTCGTGGCTCGACGTTTTGGCAGAGAATCTCAAGAAGTTCATCATCTGGCCATCTCGGCGGTCGATTCAAACCCGTCGTCCACGAGCATTTCCAGACCCATTATTTGACCATGTCAGGGGAATAATTGACTGCACGGAAGTATTTATCCAGAAACCAAATGTAATGAAGGCCACAAGCCAAACTTTTTCCAGCTACAAACACCACAATACCATCAAGCTGCTTGTTGTGGTATCCCCGTCAGGAGCAATCACATTTGTTTGGAAAGCCTGGGGGTGGGGGGGGGGGGGGGGGGGGGTTCCGACAAGGAGCTAACCTTGCACAGTGGGCTACTTGACATGGTTGAAGAGGGAGATGTTTATCTTGTCGACAGAGGGTTCCGCTGTGAAGACATGTTTGCAGCTCGAGGCGCAACCCTTTTGATGCCCTCACTAACAAAGAAGCGCACCCAACTACCTGGAGCTGAAGTCACTGCGTCAAGGAAACTCTCCAGCGTCCGCATCCATGTTGAGAGAGCAATAGGAAAGCTGAAAGTTTTTAGATTATTCCAGACTGAGCTGCCGGTAAGTTTCGCGAAAAGAGCCGGCGATGAGGGCTACGTGACCATTGACAAGATAGCAGCGGTGTGCGGCGGGATTGTCAACCTGCAAACTCCTCTCATCAACAGCCGCTAGGAAAGCTCTTGAGAATAGCTGGCAATGAAGGCTTTCCAACCATGGACAAGTCAGCAGTTGTGTGTGGTGAAGTTGTCAACCTGCAAACTCCTATCATCAACAGCCGCCAGGAAAGCTTGCGAGAACAGCCGGCGTTGAAGTCTATGCAGCCATGGACAAATTAGCGGCTGTGTGTGCTGAGCATGTCAACCTGCCAACTCCTACCAACAGCCACAAGGGCTTGGCTGTGCATCACTGAATGTTTTCATTGCAAAGGAAGCAACACATGGTGAAGTGTGAAGTCAGTGTGGCTCATAATGATTTCTTGAGTGCTAGACTGCATTGATCGGTAAATACAAGCATTTTTATTATGCTTACTTTTGGTTGCTGGGTGCATAATTTTCTTGACTACTAATTACATGTGACAAATGAAAGTGCAAAGTGAAACACAGACGAGGTAAGACACGTACGACAAGGGCAGGCCTGCGCCTGTCCATGTCGTACGTGTGTCTTATTTCGTCCGTGCTTCAGTTTGCACTTTAACCTTTTAGATTACATAAACTAGACCCAACAAAGTTTTTTTAGTGACAGATAAAACCTGAACTCAAACTGCCACCTTGACAGGCTTTGGCTTTTTTTTTATAATTTAAGTCCCTCATGATCATAATATTACAAAATATTCACTGGTATGTGCTGTACATTCTTGTTCGTCGAATTGTTCAGAACTTTTTGTATGTGTATAGTACATTCGGGGCACTTTTGAGCTGTAAAAGTAACTTATAAACATACTTGACTAGTAACATCAAAGCCAGACAGCAAAAAGATATTCTTAAAATTTTTAATTGCATGCAGCATAAAAAAAGTCTGAACAAGTTGTGCTGACATTTAGTTGTCGCCAGTATGGCCGACAATTTGGCATGCAGTGCACACCCATGATCTTGGTGTGCGTTTAAGGTTTACACACTTCAGATGGAAATTGTCACAACAAAGTTAACATTCAAGGCTACGCAGCCTAATTACATGCAGCAACACCAAGAAAAAAAAAAGTCCGAACAAATTGTGCTGACATTTAGTTGTCGCCAGTATGGCTGACAATTTGGCATGCAGTGCACACCCATGATCTTGGTGTGCGTTTAAGGTTTACACACTTCAGATGGAAAATGTCGCAACAAAGTGAACATTCAACAACACGGCCCGACCTAGCGCCATGGCAGTAGCATGTTGTCCTCGCACATTCCATTTGCTTGAAGATTCGCATGGACTGCAGTTCTGGAAAGATGTGGTTAATAAAAATGCACTCTGCTTTAAGTTTTGCAGCTGCCCAGAAATTCTCATCAAAGGTTAGAACCTCAATATTTATGTGAGGTTTCGTAAAAACAGCAAAGTATGCTCGACGGAGCTTCGTGGCCGCCATTTGTGGTTGTACTTGGGCATAATAACCGTGATCGTGCCTCAGCTGCAGGTTCTCATCGAGATAAGGTAAACGCTTGGACGTTTTAGTGAGGGAAGCACCTTTCATTGATGCAGCACACTTGACCTCCAGGACTGCCTTCCCGCAGCTTGCGCAAGAGACAATGGCACCGGGAGATGCAGCTAGAAAGGGCAGGCTTCCTACAACAAACAAACCACACTCATTTAGTTGCAGGTCTTTATGTTTCAGGGACTCCCTTGCAATAAATGCTCGTTTAGCTTCTGGTTCCTTTTCGGAGCCCCAACGGAGGTTTGAAACACGAGGTGCCTTTATATACCCCATAACCTCCGCCACAAGGCCGTCGGCACCGCTCTGGCATGTAGCCACACGACCCAAGACAGACGCTGTTATTCTGCCCTTCCGTTCTTGCTTCCACCTGAGGGATCTTGATTGCCCGCGAGTGGCTTTCTAAATCTCAGTGCAATGTGCAGCTGTTAGCCGAACTTCCTGGGCTGCTTTTAGGTCCATGTTTTGGTCAATACCACCAAGTGGCAACTGTGAGGGCGTCTCCTTGCGCTTGGCCGGTCTCTCCGGTTCTTGGTCAGCTGCTTCAGGAGCGGAGTCAGTTTCCTCGCTGTCCGTGATCGAGCTCTGCAGAAGCATTTTTGTGGCTAATGCCTATAAGAACAAAAACCGGATTAAAGTTTACATTGGTTGGTGACAATGCGTAATGCAAACATCAGTGGCTAACCCTCGAACTGGGAATTGAACCCGGATTTTTAGTATAGTCATGTACAGTTTGGATGGCTAGGCACAAGACACTGGACTTATGAGCTGAAAATAATTTATTTCGATTGTCTCACCTTTATTCAGTGCATGAAGCCGCGAACTTGTTCGTATGTCCATGTCGGTACAGGTCCCCGTGGTCTCGGGGCAACTTGAATCACAGCCTGTCCTACCTTTGGCTTGAAGAATATGACGTCGTGAAGTGGTGCTGCCTGCATGCAATTTTGCAGTTAGTTCTTGCAGTTGTGAAAAAATACTGACGTGACAGAGCAAAAGTGAAGACTTGAAATCATGAACGGCTTGCTACACTTTTTATTGACACCTCAATCCACATGCATGCCACATCAGTCGGTGATGGGGCGTTTAGCCCGTACTTCACAGTTGCTTCAACGCTGAAGAGTAGAGCAGCAACGTGAGTACAGCATTCCCCCAGGCTGAAATCCACAACAGCATAAGCATGATGTATTAAGTACCCAGAAAATGCAAGCAAAGCATGAAGCTCCATGTGTTGACGAATGTGACAAGCATAACACCATAAAAGCACCCATTAGATTAAAGAACATTTCGTGCAACTTCGAAGAACTCACAGCATCAAGTTTCATGACATGGTGGCAATTTGTAATAACATGCACTTATACTTTGATTATGCATAGCAACTCAAAACGATTACCACTATGTAGATACGTGCAGCCTGTTCGCCAATGGTACATCAAAATAAATTAGTCAAGTAGTGTTTTTGTGGGTAAACAGCGCTCGCGTATTTTTTTTTTTTTTTTTCAACGCAATTCTGGAGGGAAATTGGAAACCCAGACACTTGTAGCTATCTTTAGAGTCGCGCGAGATCGAACAATGTAGTAGGAAATCGTGAGTTTTAGTAGATCGTGTCTACAGGGGACGACACATTCCTAGCGGGAGATAGGGCTCCCACTCGAAGCACGTTTGAAGCGCACGCCCGGAGCGGTAGCGGGCCCCCGAAAATGATCTGCCAAAACTTCCAATCACTCAAATAGACTCTTGTGAATGAAGTACTCACCCGGCCATGCACGTGCAACGGGCACTAGTAACAGTTCCATCGTCCTGTACAACGCACCACGGTTGGTATGCTTTCGTTAGCGTTTGACTGGCCTCGATAGTTGCCGCAATGACGACGGTGCCTTCCCCACGCTTGCCTGCCTTGAACGACACAAGCCGTTTCACTTTTCCACTCACAAAGGCGTTGTATGCTTCGCCCATCTTGGGGCTTTTGAACTGTTCCTTGGTATAAAAGCACACTCCTTCCACGAGATACATGAAGATGTCTGCTGCCGTGACTGGGGGGAAGTTCCTGGAGTCCGAAGAAAAGCTAAACCGGTACCAGATCACCGTCCAGCGGGTCGGGCAGCTCTTGGCCTCTGAACGACAACTTCTCTCGATACCGATTTTGTGCCTCGATGTCGAGCCCTTTAAAATAGTCACTTGACATTTTCGTAGGCGAAAGGGTAAAAACTCTGCACACTAAAATTATCACGCCGGTCGAAACATCGGCAACCCAGCTCGTACGCACCATTTGGAAACCACGCAGGAAAAAACCGGAAATTCTTCGACCGGAAGTCGCGGGGGGGGGGGGGGGGGGGGGGGTTTATCCAATCAGCGTCAAGCGCCGCTTGTTTGCAAACACCGAAAGCGTCTATACACTTTCTCCTTGTGTATCCGTACATAGACCACACAGAGCAATCGCACGGTGCTGAATCGTTGGTTGTTCGATTTGACACTATAATCCGTTGCAACTCAAGAACGAAGGGCGAGGGTAAGACATTCCCGAGAGGAGGAAGCGGACGGAACGCTAAAGGGAGAAGGGGGTTTCCCTCTCTCTTCTCCAGGGCTCCGTCTGCTTCCTCCTCCCCGGACCGTCTTACGGACTATAGGCTCTTACTCGCTTCGTAAATGACAGAACTTGAAACCTCTTCGCAAACGCCTAATTGAGAAGTTCTGAATTCCTCTCTCCCGGCTCCTAATATCCGGTCGGAGTTCCGAAAGAAAATGTCCTTTTGGTTATGAAATTCTGTCTTTCCTTGTAGATATAATCGGTGCGTCGCGCACGGTTAAGCTGGTGTTGTTTGTTTGTAGTTCCAATTATTGAGCACCAAATACATCGAGTCTCCTGTAAGTATAGCGATAGTCAGCTGTGTTTTATTTTCAATCACCGTGTGAGTTTCCTTTATTGTAATGTTTTTGGCGTTTTCGGTGTGCGTGTGCGTGCGTGCTGTCTGTCTGTGTGTGTCTGTGTTTTGGGGAAGGGGGTTTCGACGGTAAAAAGGGAGAAGGGGGTTAGGGGTTCTGTTATGTCGGTTCACATAGCGTGTTGAAACTCATCTGCTTAGGTCCTTGGGAGAGGTGCCCATACCCGTTGCTGTACTTCAACTTGGAGTGATTTACTTTGTCCGGTTAGGTTCGGTCAAGTCTTTGCGGCCGCCTGTCTTTATCTTCCTTATTTTTTTTTTTCTGTGTGGGCATGCATTTATTGTCGTTCTTGTGAATAAGCTCAGCTGCGTTCCAGATTTCGTTTCGCAATGTCAGTTATTTTTGTTTTTCCTCGTATTTTGATTTAGGCTGCAATATTTCCTGACCAACTCACCTGGATATTTTCCCTTACAACTACTCTCGCCTTAATTTCCCGTAGATGACTTCCAAGGTACGATTCGTAACTGCCGCCAGTGGTGACGTTCGCAGGCGTTTCTTTTCTGAGATAAGGGGTGGGAAGAAGGGGGCAGGGCTATGGTCACACAACGATAAAGCAATGCTCGGAACACCAGGCCTTTCCACTCTCTACGATAGACTCCCGCTT